AATTTCGTCAAAACTCGACTCCTATGAAATTAGACTTGAATTTACACAAGTGAAAATTTATCGAGTCAAAAACTTTCACTTGACATTCATGGCTCTAATCATAATCGTTTAACTTGTTTAATCGTTATTTAGATTTACCAGAAGCAAATCGAATTCACGTTTTTCAAAAATATTCAAATTAGGAACGCGTACAGCTTCTCTTTATTTGACTATCAACGTCATTTATAGTTAGTACAAATTGACTAGAGTCCCTCAGATTGGTCCTGAAGTTGATGGGCTCTTACATTGACACCATTGTTCACTAAAGCATTCGAATATTTCGCTACTACAGTGCATATTTTCATCAAGTTAGTGTTTCAGTGCTGCAGCAAATGCAGATGTCAATGTGATCAGTGTCTCAATGGATCCTGTGTCGCTGATTCATGATTCAGTATGTCATCGCGATACCAATGATATGGCAGTATCAATGATACTCAAGGCATCTTGCACTATTAACATGACCTCTAATATATTTCTCATGAGGATTCATTACTTCTTTTTATATTCAATAATAATTCGTCTATTCTGCATGTTTATGTATTCGACAATTCTGTTGTTTGTGAAAAAAAAAAGAATTGGTTTTACTATGAAAATTTTAACAACAAATTTCGAAATGATCGTTACTCAAGAATTTTAACATACACTTTTAGAATACATGTGTCGTAGAAATATAACATTTGACAAAAGGCTTACACGATTATAAAAGATATCATTTTCAATGAAAAAATGTTTGTCCTAATCCCGGAATTATCTTGCCCATACCTACGCGATACCCATAAATACTAATGGCATACGAGCAGTAGATTGTCAGTTGAATAGTGGCTTTTATCTCAATAAAAATTCTATTACTGTCATTACGTGCGAATATTTTTGTCTCGTGATGTAATCAGCTGTTTTTACATATGAACTGATGGATGTGGAACAACTACTAGAAAAGAGTTTAAACTACATTGAACTATCGATGTTAATTTTCAAGTCATTTGAAAAATAATGCATAAAATATTGACTATTAGAACAGTTACTTTCAAAGACAATAAATATTTGGCTTGATTGGTGGGTAAATGAATAACATGAGAGTTTAGGAATTTTAATAGAGATATTATTAGTATTTTTATCCAACTTGAGAGTCTAGGAGAATCGTTGCCTCTCTAAAGATCAAGTTGACCTTTATGAAGATAATGAATTTCAAAAAATGAATATTATTAACTTACGCATCATCATCTCGATTTTGATCATTAGTTGGTGTTATTGGTGAATTAGTTTTTCGATTAGAAAAATTAAAAAGACTTTTTGGTGGTGTTATTGCTTCTGATTGTTGAGACTTTTTACGTTTAAGTTCTGCTTCATCTCGAGCTGTTCGTCTAGTTTTGTTTAAAACAAAAAATAAAAAAAATAAATTTTCAAATAAAAATTCAAATTTTATACGAACAATTCAAGTTGAAGTTCAAGTATTATATTTTCCATTAAAACAACTTCATTTTCACGTTCAGTTTTTAATGTTTCAAACCGACCTTTTAATTGTTGTAATTCACGATCACGATGTCGTAAAAGTTCTTCAAAATATTTCTAAAAATTAAAATTAATTTAACATATGTATAGAGTCATTCAAAAGTTAGTTAACGAAAGAAAAAAAATTCATTTCTTAGCTAAAAACTTCATCAAATAACGTCAATTTTTTTTATCAATAATAAAAATATGTTCATAGTTAATATGCTTAAGGTCCATTCCTCTGTCAATATGTGTGCGAGTCTTAACAGTTCAGAGTAAAAATTTCGGCTTCCAGTTGTTTTTAAAATGTAACAAAAACTTGCCCCTACAACCTAACAAAACCTAGTTTTTTCAAAAAATAAGTCGAAAATGAAAATTTCAACTATGTTAAGTTGTAGAACGTAATTTTGTCTTTAGTTAAAAATTTCCTGTAGCTTTTCAGCATGTAAAACAGCCGAGAAATTTTTGACACAAGAATAAGAAAAATTAACGTTAAGAAAAACATCAACAAATGTTTGACTTAGAAATCTAAATTTCTTGCTTAATAAAAATGGTGTAGAAAAAAAAAACTGTGAAAAAAAAAACATAATAAATTGAATAAATCATATTTTTTGAAGAAAACCACGATTTCTTAGAAGTAGGTAAATCTGCTAAAGTTCAGAATTTTCTAAGATCATTGACTTTGACATAGAAATGAAATCTATTTGAATTACTTTCAATGAAGAATTTCCTTAGTTGAATTACAGCTTCTGAGCTAAAATTCTATAAAATAGTGGTAGATTATTCTTTTATAATAACCTCGAAAGAATTCATTCTTTGGTGAAATTTTTATCAGGATATCAAATTTTCGTTTCTAGAACTCATTTTCAATTATTTTTTTTACATGAAACTTCAAAATCTTTACGTTTTAGACAATATCATTGGAGAGGTGCTTAGATTTTGGAAAACTGATATCTCAGAGACAATTGTATGTAATCATTCTGAAACTTTGTGAATGATTTAGTTTCGTTGAAGTCAAATATTTGAAATTAAGATTTTATTGAACAATTTGGATACTACAAAAAAAAATTTAACATATCGGTCAAAACTTCACAAAACAACGAATATTTTGGAAAATAATATAAACAGATAGTTTATTATTATTAGTATTTGGTAAAATATCTATTGAAAATCTGTGGATAATTTGAGTAGATCTTTCGTCAAAATTAAGGACTTGTGCGTTCATATGTTTGTAAAATCAGTTTCAAGTCTAAATGTATTCATAGTTTTCTAATCGAAGTGAATATAAATAGAGAAAAATAATTTTTTCGAATATTTTCTTCAAGTATATAATCTATGAACGTCTCTTTATCATCGATAAAAAGTGAACCTATTTGATAAAACTATAGAGAAAGTATTGAATTTTTTCTTCGATTAACTAACTTTTGTATCATCCATTATAATCATAGATAAATAAATTCTTACACGTTGTTCAACTTCAAGTTTATGTTTATCTAATGGAATCATTTCACGTTCAGGTAAATTTAATGGTTTAAGTTCATTGACAGCTGCTAATGTTGGTATTGGTTGTTTATTTTCGTCATCATTATTTTGATCTTTAAGTAATTGTTTAATAGCATTGACACTAAAATTAAATTTAAAAAAAAAAAAAACGAAATAGAAAATTAAATTTAAAATAATAAATTTTTAGTACTTGTTTGAGTTATAATATAAATATGGTGTTAAATCAATAACATCAATATCGGAACCATTAAATAATAAAGGAGTAATAATTGAACCATCTTGTTTAAAACAAAAACTAAAAACAAAAAAAAAATATTTTTAAAAAATTAAACAAAATAAATTTAAATACCTAAAATCAATAGCACTTAAACCAGCTAATTGATCACATAAAATAAATGCTTGTGATGATGTCATGATTGAATCTTCATAATAAAATTTTCTGGAAGAAAAAAAAAATTTTTTTTTTTTCTTCTAAAATTTTGATGATTATTTTAATTTTTCATACCGAACAAGTTGACAATCGGATAGAACAAGTTTCAACAACTCCGAAAGTTTTTTTTCCATTAATGCAAATTTAATCCATGTTCGACCCTAAAATCAATTAATATATAATATCATTTTATGATCAGTTTTTTATTTGTCAACATTATTAATTTAGATTCTATGCAACTGTCAATATATTTCTATAAAGTTTTTTCGTACAATAATTCAACAATCTTGATTCAAATTTATTTTGATTAAATTTAATCAAAATGAAAAAGTTAATATTTATTAAATTATCAAAATCATTAAAAACAAAAAAAATTTTTATCTTCATAGTTTTTCTTAATTAATATTTTAAATATGTTTCATATTTCATCTTACACTAAGAATAACAAACTCATACAATCATTTTAATATGAAACAGTTAAGCATTGATTCAAATAATTTTTACCTTATATTTAACAGTTCTTGTTTTTGATACTTCTTCAACGCGTTCAATAACTAAATAAATAATATAAATATAAATATAAATTAAATTTTATATAATTTGACATTTACTAGTTTGTCGTGATGAACCAATACATGCTGGTCGAATAAAATCCCAAAAACATCGACGTTCTGATAGCCAATTTGCTGTTAAAATAATCAAATTTTGAACGAAAATTTTGATTAATCTTTCTTTTTCTTTTTACCTCTCATACGAAAATTGAGAACACGTTCAAGTGTTAAAATAAAATTTGTAACATCATTATTTCGATCATCAAGTACAGGCAAAGCTGTTGGTGATGATGATTGATCAATTAATGTATTTAATGTTAATCTATATTTTAAAAAAAAAATTATTTTATTTTATTTTTTTTTTTTTTATTTTTTACTTACTTAATTAAACATAATAAATTTGCTTTTTCTCTTTCATTATTAATACTTTCACTCGCAAACATTTTTTATTTTTTATCTAAAAAAAAGTCTTTTTTTTTTTTTGTCTTATTTGTATTAATACACATCCACACAAACAGACGATATACTGGCTGGGATGATGATGATGATGATGATGATGATTTTATATAGGTGAGAACGATGATGATAATAATAAACACAAAAAAAAGAAAAAGAAGAAAGAAAAAAAAAGAAGCAACACACATATTTTTTTTCTCTGTTTGAACATCAAAAAGAAGAAAACAAAAAACAAAACAAAAACGCGTGTGTATGATAATAAAACAACAGTTGGAAAGAAAAAACAAACAAACGTTGAACGACACCGAGCACAATAAGAACAAGAAGAAGAGAGAAAAAGAAAACCACTCACACTACAAACAAAAAATAATCCTAGATGTGAAATATAATATGTACAAAAACCATAATATATATATATATATATATATATGTATATTTATATGTATATTCATATTTATATGCAGACAAACACACACAGACACAAATTACTATTTGTATCCGCCGCCCTGCAGAGGAAAAACAATAGCAAATGTTCAACATTTTAGTCGTTCAATAGCTGTTCTCAATGCTAATTCATGTGTATCATAAGATAAACAATCATTTGATTGATTATTTGGCATTATACCAAGTTCGAATGCCATTTGAGTTTGAATAGCTAAACAATAATAATATATAATTACAACAAATAAATCATTATAAAATTCTTTAAATTATCTCTCGAGTTATAATATCTGACATCAGTATTTTCTGCAACAGTGAGATACTAACTTTATTAAAAGAACTATTCTTCTGTAGTGGTGTACTTAAGTGTATAGTGATGTCAGTGTGTACAAAATACACTGTGTTAGGGATCGGGAATAGAGTCCACCAAGTTCAAAAGTACTGAATCCGCTTGAAAAAACTTCTTCGAAGTTAGGGCCAACTCGAAGAGCTTTAGTCAGGATGCAAAATAGTTTGTTTTTTTTTTTTGGTTTACGATACATTCATTTTCTTATTTCTTCGAGTTAATGAATTATATCGAACGTCGATTTTAAACCAAATGATATGTGTCCGAATAATATTTTTTTTTTTTTTTGTCATTCTGATGTCATTTGTTAGAAGGACATACTAACTTCATCATAACAAATCCCATCTGTATAAATGTTTAGGTTAATAAAAAGAAATGAAATCTAATGATATATGAAAATTAATTATGATAATGATTGATAATGTCATGATACCAGTTCAAAACTACTAAACAATTACGAAACGTAGTCAATAGAATAAAGTTAAAAATTATGATTTATCAGAAAACTTTTTTTTTTATCTGTTTTGAAAAGTAAAGCTACATATACAAAATAAACTTTGGATTATAAATTGTAGAGCTTTCCCTGTTGCATCTTGTGGTAACCTTTGTTGTTGTTTTTTAATAAAGAGTATCCGAAGATAAAAAAAAATAAAATACAAAATGAAGTCATTTGTTTTGGACCATTCATTATGAAATTTTAGTCAAAGTTTACTGTTTTATAGTCATACAAATAGCTATCAGAATGTTCGATACAGATGTAGAGAATTTGCCTGTGGGCGATAAACTATGTTGAGCAAAATTATTTAGTTGTACGAAAATTTTTTCATTTTGGAATTCGATTAAAGAAATATTTCTCTTATACTAATAAATATATAAACTTCGTATATAACTTTTATGATTTATTTATTAATAGAAAAAATAAATTTGTCATGTTGATCTCTCTCGTAGTTTTATTTTTAAGATTAAGATAATTTTTTTTGAAGATATTATAGACTTTTGAATATATTTAGAATCGATGTTAGAGACGTATGAAATAAAGTTTATTTTTTATTTCTATATCGTATATCTAAATCTATAAAAGTTTTTCTAAACTATTCTTTATAATAAAATAAATATTTTAACTCGTAAATTATTTTAATTGTCAATAAAAAGAAAAAGAAAAAGAAAAAGAAAAAACATAAAAACTTACTTTGATGTTCATGTAGAATTGTTTGAATTTTATTGTCAACATTTGACATTAATTGTTCATAACGATTTTGAATCAATAAACGAACTTGTCGAGTATCATCATCATCTGATAAATGAAATATTAATATATTCATTTGATCACTAAATGAATTTGTTTTTATATCATTTTTTGGTGTTAATTCAATAGATAAACACGATGAAGCTTATAGAAAAAAAAAAGAAAAAATTTTTTTTAATTATTTTGATTTTTGTTTTTTTAATTTAATAAAATACTTACTTGATATAGATGAACATACACTATCAACAATATGATTAATTGTTTGAGCAATAGATTCGAAATATTTTCGATTTTTGTCTCTTTCTTCAATTTTAGCCATTAATTCATCTGACTTTATATTGGCACAATTAAAAAGTTCAATTAAATCATCACATCTTAAATAAAAAATGTTTTTTTTTTTAAAACTTTTAATTATTTATAATAATTAATTTAATTAATTTTACCTTAATGCATGTTGTAAAGATCTTAATGTTGGTGTATAACGTAATTTTAATTCAATAATTTGTTCTCTTAAATTCCATAAACGTCGAGAATATGATAAAAAAAGAGAAACTTTTTCCGAATTATTTGATGTACTTAAAAATAATGATGTTGTTTCATCATCTATCATTGATGAAAAAGACCATTGTGGTGAACGTTCAACTAAAAAACAAATTATTTTTTTATTTTACTCAAAAACAAATCTAGAAAAATCTATTTTACCTTCAGCTTTTGTGCAAACATTACATTTAAAATATGCTGGAATACAATTTGCTGTCACACCAACACATTCACAATGAGACCAACATAAACATGTTTCACACTAAAACAAAACAAAACAAAACAAATAGAAAAATTCAAACGAAATTCTATTTAGGAAAATTTTCAAATATGATATGACCGATGAAACTAATCAATAAGGAATTTGTAATTTCGAGGATTCTAATTACTGTAAATGACAACAAATATTACAAGATTTTCTAGGCATTTTTAACAGTAGAAACCATTAATTTCTATTGAAGTTAAAGTTTTTACTGCATTAATTACATAATTAAGATATTAATGTAAAATATAATTATAGAAAAATGATCAAAATATTTGTTAAACTTTTAATTAGTCAGAATAATAATGACGATTAAGCCACTAGAAATGATTACAGGCAGATGTAGACAATATCATAGATTGTCCTTTCTTTCAGTTAGTGTCCGGATTAAATCAAGAATGACACCTCCTCTGTTTCTGAAATTTATCCTGATGACGCCCTATTTTCTACGACTCAATTGCTCTACACAAGAGTCTATTAGATCAAAAATTGGATATTCGCTCCAAACATACAAGATACTTTTTTCCAGCTTTTTTTCAGACTCGAGACCGTCTCGGTGGAGTTTACTCTACACATTCCTTATCTTAAATATAGACAAAGGAACTATCCGAAGTGATACTCGCTGTTTGAGATCATATTGATAACTGTTTTACTCAATTTATGATCCAACTTTAAGTATTTACCAAAAAATTTAAGTAATAAAATTTTGGTCTGAAATTATGATCATAGATAGAATTAATGACTCCGAGAATATCTTGAAAGTTTCAAACAAAAATAATATTCCTTTACTGAGATATGGAATATTTAAAAAATAGTCGCTTACTACAAAAATCAAGTTTACTTAAAAATTAAATATCTTAACTAAATAAAATTCTTTTCGTCTGAAACTTTCAAAATATTTCTGGAATCATCATTCCTATCAATGGGTGAAATTTCATGATTTTATTTTTTTTCTCAAATACCCATAGTTGAATCGAAAATTCAGTAAAACGGTCATAACTCAGCTTGAGAGGTTCAGCAAAGTTCGAGTAATCTCTGCTTTAGTGCTTAAGACAATGATAAAGACATAAGAATAGATATCATCGAGTTAATCTCGATCCGAAAAATTGTAATCGATGCACTAATTGATGATGGCGGCGTTGTTCACTGTCTCAATTCCTATGTAAAAAAGTCAATGAATAATTGAAAGAAAAATCTTGATAAAAAATTGATATTATATTTGAATAATTATTATTTAAATTTGACATATTTTATTTTTTATTATTTTAAATAAAAATGTAATCTTACTTGAATCATAAAACCATTATCAATTTGACAATTACATAAACAATGAATAACTTCATAAATATCACGTTCTTTTGGTAGAACAGATATTTGTTCCATAAGACCAGAATTAATAATAATATTATTGTTATTAGGAGATAATAAATCTTCAATAGATTGTTGTTCATTAATTTTTGATATTGAAGGTGTAAGTGGACTAGATGGTGATAATAACATTTGTTGTTCATTAATTAATAAATTTTCATGTAAATTCGATATTGTATTTGTCATATTTATAAATGATGAACGTTTTATTTTTATATTTCGATGTTTTTCTCCAATATTAGTTAAACGTTTATGACGTGTTAAAATTTTTTTTTTATTTAAATTTTGATTAAAAACTTTATTTAAACATAATTTAATATGTGTTTTTATTTCATTTGGAATAAATTCATATAAATTATAAATTAAATTTTTATTATAAAATATTGAAAATATTCTTTCTAATATATTTGATATTAAATATAAACGTTGATTATTATTATTATTATTATAATATTCTAAACGATATTTATTTATTTTTTCATAATTATTATTATTATTATAAATAAATTTAATTAATTCTTCATAAATATTTTTATCACCTTGATTAATTAAATTATTATTTAATTTTTCATTTATTTGATTATTATATTCTTTTAAATAATTATTAAAATTTTCTAAATCTTTATATGTTAATAAATCATTATTTGATGATATTGGTTCACTATATTCATCAGATAAATAACCTGGATCACATAAATCATTTGTTGTTTTAGATAAACCATCATCATCATCATCATCATCATCATCATCATCATTATTATTATTATTATTATCATCATTATCATCATTATTATCATCATCATCATCTTCATCATCAACATCATTATCGTCATCATCATCATTATTATTATTATTATTATTATTATTATTATCTTTTTGTTTTAATAATAAACGATTAAGTACACCATTTATTTGTTGACCTTGTTCTTGTTGATTTATTTCAATTTGTTTTCGTTGTGGATTATTTTGTTTACGTTTAGATTTTAATTGTTGATGTGGTTTATCTAATGATGATTCAGATTCTTGTGTTAAATGTATATCAGGTAATGATGGTGGAGGAGTTTCAAGAAAACATGATGATTTTTGTTCAGTTTTTATTTGATGTTCAATTGTTGTTGGTATTGAATCATATTGATTAACTATATATGGATTATCTGTACTTGTTGTTGATGATGAACGACTATCAGTTGAAGCATTTATATGATAAATTAAATCAGAATTAATTACAGATTCTACATAATCATCTTGTTTTAAATTTTCATGAATAATTAATGGATCTTCTTCTTGTTTTATAGGATTTTCTTCATCAATTGAACAATTACCTGAAAGAATTTTATTTTATTTTTTTTTTTTTTTAATTAAAATAATATTTAAAACATTATTGGATTAATCTTAAATATTCTATACCTCTCTCACATGATACGAATAATGTTCTTAATATACCTGTATGCTGTAATACAAACATTTTATTTTTTCCCTATCTAAGCTCTTTCGAGTGTAACAATCAACAGCAAAATCAAAAAACAAAATATTCTACAATAAAGATTCGTAATTTAAAAGAAAAAATAAATCTATAGAATAGAATAGAATAGAATAGAATAGAATAGAATAGTTATTTGTTTATCTAAACGCGGTAATTGATATTATTTTTTAATGATTATTGACTTATGTTTACTCAATTATTAAATCGACTAGTTGAATAGAAAGCGTAATATTTAATAAGTTTATATAATAGAAAGATGAAAATAAGATTTACTATTTATTCTTACAGGATTATTTTAATAAGATAATCTCTATTTTGTATGATTTTTTCATTTCAACTAATGAAAATTTTTCATCAGATTCAAA